CTTCCCTTCTAAGCGCCTTCCTTGCCTTTAATTGGCACCTCATTAGAAATTAATGAAAATGACATCCTCTGTTCTTCCTGCTTTAGGCACAGAGTGCTACAAAAAGGCCCATCACAATTCATAACACATTCAATTTATATAGCAATGGCTCTTAAGCATTATTTATGAGCTGTGAATTTCTTGTCAGCAGTTAATAAGCTGTACAGAGGGAAAGGGGAATGAAAAAAGATTGTGAACATGTAAAAAACAATATTTCTACAGCTGAGAAATGTTGTGTTTGAGCTTAAAGTATCTTTATTGGGATTCCCTTCTCAGTAGTAAATTGTTTCCCTCCCCCCCACCCCTAAAACCCTACCACACTGTTAAATTTGTCTGAAGTTCCATGTAGTGTCAATGAAATGGGATCCATGGTAATGCCTGGCTATCTGAGAGGCAGTGGGAGCAATGGAGCAATATAAAGGGCATGTCTGGCCCCAGTTCTCTGAAGTGCAGTGTCCTGCAGGAGAGTGATTACACCTGGAGAGGTGTAACAGGCTTGAAGCATCATATCGTTAGGACTTGGAAACTGTAAAACTATGGTGTAAGCTCTGGATATCTAGTTCAGATGACACTGGTAAGCAAGGCCATATAAGCTCTAAGCTAATGCAAAAACTGCATTTTACAAGCATTTGTAAACCACCAGAAACTGCTTAAAGTAAAGCCATGCATTGTTCAGAATGTAAACATTGCAATAATGTTACTCTGAGAGCGTAAGTTCCTGGGTATGGCAGACTGTGAAAGACACATTTGTGAAATCTGCATGAGGTAATGGGTTGCAGAGGTGTTTGCTTAGCATACAGCATTATCTAATGAGCTTCTAGACAGTCATTCAGTGGATGAAATATTCAGAAATAGACACAGCTCGCTTCAGAACTTCAGGGTAGATGGGGAAAGATCACTGCATATACAGCTCATCTGACTGCTCAGTGCATGCCCGATAATAGCAGGCAGTATTGCATCAGATCTTCATGCAAACAAGTCTGCTGGAGGCAGCATACCCAAGTTGATGAAACAATGGCCTAATCAAATATTACAAATCCTCTCCCTAGCACATGGGTTATCCGAGTGGAAATGCAGTAACCACAAAAGAAAAACCACAGGCACCTTGTTTCGGAGGAGTTGTCTCTTGAGGGTTCATTGTTAATGCTACCCTTCCAGAGAAAAAACAAACGTTTTGGGAGAATTTTCTTTAAAAATATATTGGCAACAAAATACGAAACACCCAAATTCAAAGAAAAGGCATGCATATTCCAGTTACCTCTCTCTCATGTTTAGTGTTAATTCTAGTGCTGGGGCAGGTGACTATGGGAAAAAGACAACTTGTAAATGTTGAAGAAATGTTAAGCTGCTTTTGCTGCTTCTTTTGGTATAGGTTTCAGAGTGGTAGCTGTGTTAGTCTGTATCACCAAAAAGAACGAGGAGGACTTGTGACATCTTAGAGACTAACAAATTTATTTGAGCATAAGCTTTCGTGGACTAAAACCCACTTCATCGGATGCAAGCAGTGGAAAATACAGTAGGAAGATATATATACACAGAGAACATGAAAAAATGGGTGTTGCCATACACACTGTAACAAGAGTGATCAATTAAGGTGAGCTATTATCAGCGGGAGAAAAAACCTTTTGTAGTGATAATCAGGATGGCCCATTTCTAACAGTTGACAAGAAGGTGAGAGTAACAGTAGGGGAGGGAAATAAGCATGGGGAAATAGAAAAGGAGTAATTGTGGCACCTTAGAGACTAACAAATTTATTTGAGCATGAGCTTTCATGAGCTACAGCTCACTTCATTGGATGCATTCAGTGGAATTTCAGTATTTTCCACTGAATGCATCCGATGAAGTGAGCTGTAGCTCACGAAAGCTTATGCTCAAATAAATTTGTTAGTCTCTAAGGTGCCACAAGTACTCCTTTTCTTTTTGTGAATACAGACTAACACGGCTGCTACTCTGAAACCTGTCATGGGGAAATAGTTTTACTTTGTGTAATGACCCATCCACTCCCAGTCTTTATTCAAGCCTAATTTAATGGTGTCCAGTTTGCAAATTAATTCCAATTCAGCAGTCTCTCGGAGTCTGTTTTTGAAGTTTTTTTGTTGTAATATTGCAACTTTTAGGTCTGTAATCGAGTGACCAGGGAGACTGAAGTGTTCTCCAACGGGTTTTTGAATGTTATAATTCTTGATGTCTGATTTTGTGTCCATTTATTCTTTTAAGTAGAGATTGTCTGGTCTCTGAAGCAAACACTCACCAACAACCACATACCACACAACAAAAACACTAACCCAGGAACCTATCCTTGCAACAAAGCCCGTTGCCACCTCTGTCCACATCTCTCTCCAGGGGAAACCATCATAGGAACTAATCACATCAGCCACACTATCAGAGGCTCATTCACCTGTACATCTACCAATGTGATATATGCCATCATGTGCCATGTACATTGGTCAAACCGGACAGTCTCTACGTAAAAGAATAAATGGAAACAAATCAGAAGTCAAGAATTATAACATTCAAAAACCAGTCAGAGAACACTGTGCCAACGTAACTGTTTCAGTAAAAAAAAACTACATCCCTATCTGAAATAGTTATACTGGTACAAAATCTGTATATAGACAAGGCCTTTGATTTAAATACTTATCAATTTTAATAACATGAAGCTACTAACTAAGGGAAGGATCTTTTTTTTAAAAAAATACGATTTTTAACTTCATTGTCGTTTATGTTGCAATTTTTTTTTATTTTGGCATCTAATTGCCGCTTTTGTTTAACCAGACAGTGCAAAGATGCTTATACTGTGGCTCTCAACCCTTCCAGACTTCTGTACCCCTTTCAGGAGTCTGATTTGTCTTGTGAACCCCCAAGTTTCATCTCACTTAAAAACTACTTGCTTACAAAATCAGACATCAAAATACAAAAGTGTCACAGCACACTATTACTGAAAAGTTGCTTGTTTTCTCATTTTTACCATGATTATAAATCCTCCAGCTGGAAGTTAAATATTGTACTTACATTTCAGTGTATAGTATATAGAGCAATATACACATGCCATTGTCCTTATGAAATTTTAGTTTGTACTGACTTTGCTAGTGCTTTTTATGTAGCCTGTAGCAAAACTAGGCAAAGATCTAGATGAGCTGATGCACCCCCCGGAAAACCTCTGCATAATCCCAGAGGTATACTGCCACTGGTTAAGAACCACTGGCTTAGACAATAAAATCTCTACCACTGACATATCCATAGTGGGGGAGGTGTACATTTTCACATTTGCAGTTTCTATTGTTTGGATGGAAATACTTTTCTACCAAACTAGCAGTGATAGGTCAACAGTATGTTGATTGCCAGTGTGATGGCTTTATCTTCATATGAGAACTTATTTTTAAATGGAAGTTTAGAATTTGCAGAATACAGCAAAAATTGCTGATTCTAAAATTACACAATCCACTTATTTTTATACTTGCAAAATTCTCTTGACCTTGATGTTAGGGAGGATTTTTCTGTGTGTATTTCAGGCAGGCATTTACAAACTCCCTCATTCAAATTGTGACAAATGCAGCCTAAGAGCTGCAGCTTCTGCATCCATCATGCTGGGAAGAGAAACTGTACCAAGCTATGTCACAGAGAGCAGGGCTGCAGTAGTTTGCTGAAAATCTCACCAGATGCCTTACTGTGCATGTCCAGAACTGCGTTTTCAATCAGCTTCCATTAAAATCTCTACACCATAACTTTTGATTTTATAAGCAGTTAGTGGCTTGTCTGATTTTCCATGTAGTTTCTGTACACACCTATGGTCAATACCCAATACCAGGGAGTTAAACATGTTTCATCCTTACCAGAGTTCTAGGCCGTACAGGGTTGTCTTTGTAGCACTTACTTCCAGGAGACATTTCATATTGAAGATAGGACCCCCTAACTATGCTTGGACAATACTTCCTCTCAGTTCTGTGTAGTAGGACATCCCAGAGTGCATTGGTCCAAATGCCACAGGTGTCATTGTGTTTACAAGTCCTCTGAGCACTCAATTACTGTAGTGAGGCATCATGAAACAAGTAGCAAACTTCACCAAATGTATAAACATCAACAGGATTAGGAAGTGTGGTATGCAGGAAGCACAAACTTAGTTGATACATGATTGTGTTATGAAAAAAATTACTATGCAAATAAAAGTACCATGTGTTTGTTGTAACCACGTCTAATGAGTGTATTGCAAATTGATTACAACAAATACAATTGTATTTGTGTGGATGAGACAATTTCTCCCATGGTGTCTACCGCATTCATCACTTGTCCATGTAATAATACAAGTTCCAAAATCCAATAGATTTAGAGTAGTCTGAATGAGACAAGCTAGTGGTCAGCATAGGCAATAGCATCCACCCCGAAAAAACCTCAAATAGCTGAACAGTTTCCTCAACTTATGGAACAGTCTCCTTTGGGATGACATCAAGAATAGAAACGTTCAGCACAAAGGAAAGGGGTGGTTTTTTGGAAAGTTACAGACCCATCTAAAGATAGGATTCTTATATAGGGAGAAAGGACTGTCTTGTAATTTACATACAGGACAGAGGAAGACCTGTGTTTCTGCTCCAGGTTCTGCAGCAGACTTTTGTGTGATCTTCACCAAGTCAACTGACCTTCTCTGTGCTTCAAGCTTCTTCAGCTGTAAAGTGGGCATAACATTCATCCACCTCACAGGGAGTTATGAAGCTACATTCATTTATGCGTGTTAAATGGTTTGAGCTCCTTTGGTAGAAGGCTCTACATAAGGACAGAGCATTAGTGGAAATTGATCTGACAGTATTAACTGTAACTTTTGCCACCAATGAAAGCTAGATCCTCTCTCTCAAATTTATCTTTAAAAGGTCTGAATAGGACTGCTACATTTTCCCATCCGTGCAACGGTACCTAATGTCATTCTGTCAGAAAGCTTAATTTTAACAGTATTGACAACCAGTACTTACCACAGCGACATGATCCCAATTCCTGCTGTACTAGCTCCAGTTTTGTTTGGCACTGGAAGCACCTGCGTCTGCTCTTCTGTTTGGATCGACTGGTTTCCTCAGGCCTGTCATTACTGTCCTCCAGTAGCCGTGGCCGTTTCACAGGAGAAGCCTCGCTCTCTGACTGTGAATCTGTAATATTCAGAACAAACATTTGGGGGAAATGATAGAACCTCCTTTTTGAGGTCCTGTTCTAGAAAGATTAACGGTCTATTACTTGCATCTGGGGTCACTTGCAAGGATTATGTTCCTTCCTGTTCTATTGCATATATACATTCTTCAGCAGTCAAAACAGGCACCAACTAAGGGAGCAATTATCTTTGTTCCCTACAAGGACCCCTCCTGGCTCACAATACTGAAAATCAAATAAACTGGATAACTCCTCCCGGCCACAGCTTAGTTGTACACAGACACATGTAGCACGCACACCATCCTAAACAATTGTAAGCTTCATTTAGTTTCTCCTACATGACTTTATTCCCCCTATACAAACCAACTGAACGAGGCTTCTGATGAAAGCCAACTGAAAGCGAGTTCAGCCTATTTCCTGGCTGGATAGAACAGAGGCTTTAAGGCACAGCCTGCTAGCTACAGCTCTGAAAACTGAAGGCGGAATACAAAAGCATCATACTGTGCCTCCCTTTCTCTACAAGGATAACAATCTAAATGTAAATGATTACACATCACCAAGATAAACTAACCCCATGGATGCTATAGATTCAAAGTACTCCTGGATTCTCTCTCTAAACTAGGCACAACACTACTTCCATTAATAACCTTTTTCATATACATTTCCTCTTATAAGAAAGCGTGCTACTCTTAGAGGATGTAAATCCGCAGATGCTTCAGTTGTTAGTGTATCCGTCGTAAGAATGAGAAGCTAATTAATTGTCTGCACATGACATTTTGTCAGACCACAGCGATTGGCACTATAGAAAAGTCCAGGATGAATGGATCCCACTCTCAAACCTGCCATCTTGCCTGTGGGATGCTCTTCACACTACCAACTTCCTTCAGGCTAAAAAGGTTAGGTAAGCATTTGTTTTAGCAAAAAGAAAAGGAGTACTTGTGGCACCTTAGAGACTAACCAATTTATTTGAGCATGAGCTCACTTCATCAGTGGCTGTGGCTCACGAAAGCTCATGCTCAAATAAATTGGTTAGTCTCTAAGGTGCCACAAGTACTCCTTTTCTTTTTGCGAATACAGACTAACACGGCTGTTCCTCTGAAACCATTTGTTTTAGGTGAGATAGTGCAGGAGAAAATCCTCTGTTGGGAATCCAGGATTCGGAGAGAACAGGCGTTCCCAGACACCACGGTCTCCCAATATTGTCAGATTCTGAGGTACCCTTTCCCCCCCACCCCCAGGCCTAGAAACAATATAATATTTAAAACAAAAATCAGATCTTTCTTCTTCCATTTCATTTCTGCAACCACAGTCCCCCTTGATACAACATCCACCTCCTCAGAAGTTAACCTTTCCCTGAACAGGAACAAAAGGCTTTTGTTTCCAAAAAGGTACATTAAGTGGACAATATTTTGAACAGCAGCTCTGCTGTAACATTACAGGCCTGCAATAAGGGGGGCGGGGGACCCTAATTCAACAGTGCTGTTGCAGCAGAACCAAGTCTCAATAACTTCCTGAAAGTGGTTTTGTCCCATCTACACTACAAATCAAACTGTCTGCAGTACTATTTCAAGTAGATCCACTGCTGAAAGCCAGTGTTGAAATGGGTCAATATCCTAGTGTAGGATGGGGTCTGAGAAAAATCCATCTTACTGTAGCGACACCAATTGTAAAAACATACATTCAACAAGACAGAACAAACAATGCTTCCTGGCAGGACCCTGGCCCTGTAAACAGCTTTATTTTAAAATGCTATTGTGGGTTCACTATGATGATGGAAAACGTGTTTAATTTGTGTGAGCTGAACCAGTTTTTAAAATAAAGTTTTCATCAGCAAGAATATTTTTAGGACCAAATTCAGTGCCCTGTGCTTGCCAGAACACCCTGTAAAGGGGTGAGGAAGCGAATCATTACCCAAGTAACAAAGCCACTCTACAGGATTAGCACAACAGCGTAAACAGTTATCCACACCCTTGTTATTTTCCATATTGCGCCTCTTCCCAGCCAATCTGTCCAAAATGCATTAGCCAAAGTTCTCTCATCTAATTAGACCATCTCACCCCACTTCTGACTTGCACCAATGACTTCCCATCTTGTCCACCATATACAATTTAAACTGCTCTATTTTCTTGCCCTCAAATGCTGCTCTGTGTGTAGTATCCATAGGTGCCTGCCTCCTAGACCAGTATACAGGGGACCTACAGCTCATTCATATCCCACCAAAAGATTCACTTTTGTGAGGCCCACAAATGAATGACTTATTACATTTAAATAAGTTTACCTAAAGCGATTCCTTCTGGATTTCTAAATGCATCTGTTTTTCTGTATCAGTCTTTTTAATCTGTTTTGTATAGATGACTGGTGCTTAAGTTATAAATAAACAAACAAACAAACAAGTGCTCTCTGGGCACTCAGATACCACAAGGAAGGAGGCCATGACAGAATCTAGCAGGGAAGATGGAGAAATGGATGCTTACTCGTGGGGGAATTCTGCGCCACTGTGCATGTGCAGAATTTATATTCCCCGCAGATTTCATTGCTTTTCTGCAGAAAAATGACTTTCTGACAGGGAAGCAAAGGGAAACCACAAGAGCAGTCATGAGACCCTTTTCAGCAGTATGTTTTGGGTGCCCAGGACAGCTGGCAGAGAGGTAAATCATTGTGGGGTAGGGAGTGGGACTGGGGAAGACCTGGCTGGTGGCACCTACCCTGCGCCAGGCTCAGCTGCTAGTCTTGGCTGGGCTGGGGAGGATGAGACTTCCTCTTCCCTGGCATGGAATCCAGGAGCAGGTCAGACCCACCCCCAGATTTTTCCCACAGCTGCAGAAAGCTCTGCCAACTCCCCCCTGCAACCCCTTCCCCCACTTCCTGCGCCCATCACTCCTCAGCTGCAGGGGGAGGGATCCCTGTACAGGGAGCTGCTCCCCCATCCGCCCAACCCCCATGCATGCAGACCCCCTCATGACTCTCCCGCTGAGCCTCACCGCCCCGCACTCGAACACTCGCCCCACCCGATAAGCCCCACTCCCGCTGCACCTGGACCACCCTGACGAGTCCCCCACACCCAGATCCCCACCCCAATGAGGCCCCCACACCCAGACCCCCCTGCCGAGCTCTATCTCCCACCCCAAACCCAGACCCCTACCCCCCCTTAGCCCCAACTACCTTCACCTGAATCCCCCTGCAGAGTACCATTACCCCACTACCATGCTGGAGCCTCCATATTTATTTGATAAATAAAATCTGCAGAATTTTGCAGAATTTTAAAATACTGTGTGCAGAATTTTTAATTTTTTGGCGCAGAATACCCTCAGGAGTATATGGATCTTTGTCGTTATGGATCGAATGGCACCATTTTACCTCAAACCACCTCTATGCAGCAATGTAGGAGAAGTTCCATGACAAAGGCTCTTTGAACAGGCTCCAAGAATCCTAACTAAGCCAGACTCCTGAGCAGCAGACCTGCATCAATTCCACTGTCTTCACTATACCTAATGATATTAGGCTGGGCATACTGGATTCTGAGGGTAACATACACCTGATGTGCTAGGAGTACTCCTTTCCACAGGAACAGTAGCCCAGTTCATGCTGTGTTTAATAATGAAGCCTACTACAGTACACCTCTTCACGGCTAAACAGTTGGGGATAACAGGAACTATCCTACCTGCCAGGATTCATCACTCAGAGCAACATTTGACACTGCTGTTCCCAAATGGTTAACCTCACACATATCTTTGCTCTGAGAAAAATAAGCCATTCTGGTTCTTCTCAACAGTCAATTTTGCATTTTAAATTAAGTTAATGGAACAAACAGTGGCCTACTGGTTTATTATGAAGTCTCCATGAGAAATTTAAATCCATGTGCCAAGCAGTATCCAATTTAGTTAATATAGCCAAATCCTGTGGAAAGGCTCCCCCTAAATTAGATAAACAGCTGCCCAGGGTCAGGCTTGCAACTGTATAATTAACTACATCCAAATATTAAATTACACATTTCCTGTTGATTAATAAATGACTAATCAAATATATAGAGAAGATGGCTCATAATAGAAATGAGAGAAGATTTAGAAATAAAGCCTTTTAGATGCCCATATCTTCCTGGCTTGCTTGGTTTAAACACTATTTTGTTAGACTACAGAGAGGTTGCTTAGCCTAATTTTAAAGGACAGTAGCCCGTTTCTCAGTTATCTGATTACTTAGAAATTATATTGAGTATTACATGCTCAAGTACTGTACAAAAACCAACTAACCCTCACGACAAACTGCAATGCAGGGAAGCACTATCCCCACTTTAAGGATGAGGAAACTGAGGCAGGGAGATAATGACTTGCCCACACAGTCAGTGGAAGAGTTGACATTAGAATTCAGAACCATGACTCAACTTGGTGTTCATTCCCCCAGATCACCCTGCCTTCCAAAAGATTAAAGTAAAACACGTACTGAAATCTTGCATCAGTAAAGTATAGTGAGCAGACAATGAATGGAAATAGTTTACGTATAGTTTTAGTGACAGGATAGTGAAATGCAAGACACAGGTACGTTCAACAGCATGTTAGAGGAGCTGCAGGAACTGGATAAAACTGATGAAGCCACTGAAGTCAAGAGTCAATTCTAATTAAAGCAATTAAACAATCAAGAAGGGCTACAACAAAGTGGATGCTTTCAGGTGTTGACATGTTCTTACAAAACAAGGTGGCATGTGACCAACAGACAAGGGTGTTTAAAAAACAAAATAGTAAGTTTTCATGTTCATTCTGGAGGTCAATTCTTTTCTACTTCTAACACAGCCTGGTAGAGAAAGGGAGGAGAGAGCTTTCCGTTTCTTAATTGCAGGTGTAAGAATACAAAACCTTATTCTCGTGAAGGAAGGCAAAATTAAATAATTGAGCTATCCCAAGGTTTCATGAGGAGTCTCCTCTACAGAGGAACACATCACTCTGTCGTCCATTTTCACTAACTGCAACTCCACATTTAGAGATGGGAAATTTGGATTTTTCTAATCTAC